AACCCAGCTATTCAGGACGCTGAGGTAGGAGGATCACTTGAGCCTGGGAAGTCGAGGTACCAGTGAGCTATGATTGTGCCACTGCACTCCAGCCTGGGAGACAGAGTGACACCCTGTCTCAAAAAAAAAAAAAAAGGAAAGAGAAAAACCTTATTTACTCATAAAAAGCCTATGGGTCAGGTGCAGTGGCTCACACCTGTAATCCTGTAATCCCAGCACTTCGGAAGTCTGAGATGGAAGAATCACTTGAGCCCAGGAATTTAAGATCAGTCTGGGCAACAAAGGGAGACCCTGACTCTACAAAAAATAAAATAAAATAAAATAAATTAAAAATTAGCCAGGCATGTTGGTGTGTGCCTGTAATCCCTGCTACTTAGGAGGCTGAGATGGGAGGAGTACCACATGAGCCCAGGAGTTGGAGGTTGTAGTGAGCTATGACTGTACCACTGCACTCCAGCCTGGGTGACAGCAAATCTATCCCCCCCGCAACGTCCTCCCTTAAAAAAAAAAGCCAATGAGGTTCATAATATTCCTTCTACAATTTATGAAGGATGAAACAAATGAAGGCACAGAAATTTACTCCCACTAAGACATGTATAACTCTTAAATGAAAGTTGCCAGGAATTAAAAAAAGAAAACAAGAAATGTATAACTCAGCGTTCATCGTATTTGTAAATGGCACCATTTAGCTGATCAAGCCCAAAATACAGAAAACATCCTTCCTTTTTTTTTTTTTTTTGAGACAGTCTTGCCAGGCTGGAGCGCAGTAGCCCAATCTCGGCTCACTGCAACCTCCGCGTCCTGAGTTCAAGCGATTCTGCCTCCTCAGCCTCCTGAGTAGCTGGGACTACCGGCGCCTGCAACCGCACCCGGCTAATTTTTTGTGTTTTTAGTAGAGACGGGGTTTCACCATGCTGGCCAGAATAGTCTGGATCTTGACCTCCCGATCTTGACCTCTTGACCTCGTGATCCTCATGTCTCTGCGAGGGCTTTGCGCCACCGCTCCCGGCCCTTTTTTTTTTTTTTTTTTTAAAAAAAACACCTTTATGGTTTGTTGGACTTGAACATCCTTCTTTCCCTTCATCCTGTAACTGAGCCCAGACTGTTCTGCTCATGGTATGACAGCCAATGGGTCAAGAGTCAAGGAGTTAGAGCAAGGACAGCAACTTTATTTCTGAGAGCTAGCAAACCGGGAAAATTGCAGAATAATATCCTAAAGAATCAGGCTGGCTTGCAGTGACACGATCTCGGCTCACTGCAACCTCCGGCTCACTGCAACCTCCGGCTCCCGGGTTTAAGTGATTCTCCTGTCTCAGCTTTCCAAGAAACTAGGACTACAGGTGAACACCACCAGACCTAGCTAATTTTTGCATTTTTAGTAGAGAAGGGGTTTCTTCATGTTGGTTAGCCTGGTCTTGAACTTCTGACCTCAGGTGATCCACCTGTCCTGGCCTCCCCAAAATGCTGGGATTACAGGTGTGAGCCACTGCGCCCGGCCTAAAGAACCATCTTTAGCCAGTACACATTTCAGGCTCTTTTAGTGTTAAGGGCAGGGGGAGGGAGAGGGGTGGTGACATTTAGGCGCCAGGGAGCGTTCCCGGAGGCCTGAAGCCTTTCTGTTATCGGTCAGGTCACAACAATCCCACAAACTCTCAATGTTGTTACTTGTGTGTACACCCTCCTTATCTCCTTGGGGGTTAGTTTTGGGAAGGAACTATTATCATCCTTGCTTTAAACTATAAATTCCTCCCATAGTTAATTTGGTCTATGTGCAGAGATAAGCAAAAGCAGTTAACCTAGATATCACCGAGGGATGGGAGTGGGGAGTTTAGGAGCAAAATGGAGTTAGTCATGCTAGGCCTACTTTTCAATGTTACAATTCCACATTATTGAGTTATTTCAATATTTCCAAATATATTCATTTTTTTCTTTTCTTTTTTCTTTTTCTTTTTTTTTTTTTTTTTTTTTTTTTTTTTTTTTTTTTTTTTTTTTTTGGAGTCTCGCACTGTCACCCAGAGGCTGGAGTGCAGTGGCGCGATCTCGGCTCACTGTAACCTTCACCTCCCGGATTCAAGCGATTCTCCTGCTTCAGCCACCCGAGGAGCTGAGATTACAGGCATGCGCCACCACACCTGGCTAATTTTTGTGGTTTTAGTAGGGACGGAGTTTCACAATGTTGGCCAGGCTGGTCTTGACCTCCTGACCTCATGTGATCCGCCCGTCTCAGCCTTCCAAAGTGCTGGAATTACAGGCATGAGCCACAGCGCCCTGTGTGTTTGTTTGTTTCGCGTTTTTTTTTTTTTTTTTTAAGACAGAGTCTTGGTCAGTCGCCTTGTGCTGGAGTGCAACGGCGCGATCTCGGCTCCCTGCAACCTCCGCTTCCCAGGTTCAAACGATTCTCCTGCCTCAGCCTCCCGAGCGGCTGGGATTACAGGCGTGTGCCACCACACCCAGCTGTTTTTAGTAGAGACGGGGTTTCTCCATGTTGTCCAGGCTGTTCTAGAACTTCCGGCCACAAGAGACCTTCCCGCCTCGACCTCTCAAAATTCAGGGATTATAGGCGTGAGCCACCGCGCCCAGTCCACCATGCCTGTTGGCATTACATCTGATAATACATATGGAGTACTGCATGTGAAGTATACAAAGGACTATGCTGAGTGTTTAAGAAATCAGTCAATATTATTCTTATATTAATAAATTTAACTGATGAAATGACAACGGCGAGATCTCGATCCTTAACTATAAGGGAGTTGGAAACTGAGGCAAGGAAGGGGTCAGGCGTGGTTTACAATACTGCTCAAATTGTTGAGATAACCGGCCGCGCCCCTTATTCAGATCGACCGTCCTCAGCTGATCGCCGGCGCGAGCCAGCCTAGGCTCCCGGAAGGTAAACACATCGCCAAGGGCGGGGCAGAAGGCTGGTGTGAGACGAGCGAGTGGCCACTTAAAACTGATTGGCAGCTGCCATGTCCACGTGCTCTGAGCTTCGAACCAGCTGTCGCGAGAATTCGATGTAAACAGAGCAGTTTCCCTGTCCTTCGGCTCTAACTTGAGACGCTCGCGTGAGCGGGACAGGAGTCTGGGGCATGTTGCTTTTCTTTTCAAAGCCACGAAGGTTCTGTCTTCCAAAAAAATGTACACGCTCATAATTATTCCCCAGCTGCCTGCGTTCGCAACCGAACCTAACACGTTGGCTTCACCCGAACTTACATGCTGTTGTGTTTTCCTTCCAACCCCAGCGGATTGGACACATTCAGGAGGCGGGTCCGCCTCTTTCCTACTTGCTGGTTGGCGAAGCTGACCTCCAAGGGCGGTGCCCGGCCGTAGACAGTTTTCTTCTGGGATTGGCTAGAGCCGTGGTTCCGCTCAGGTGTGGTAGGAAGTGGCAGCCGTCAATCACGGGAGGAGACTCCAAACAGTGAGCCTAGAGCTGGAGAGCAGCGTTAACCGGCGGGGCGGCCGGTGAGAGGGCTGGCGGGGCTTTGGCTTTGGGGAGGCTTGGGGAGGACTAGGGACCGGCGGCGTGAGGGACTGGGTCGGGATGGCAGGAATTTGACAGGAGAGTGGTGTCGATACTGGAGGGGGAGGGGAGCAGTGCAAGGGGCCGGAGGGCGGCGGGGGGCAGCGGTGGCTCCGTGTTGAGGTTAAGTGGGCAGCGCCGTGCGAGTGCCTTTCAGGAGACTGGGGCCTGAGCGGCTGACGAGGGTCGTCCCCAGGAGACAGGGCCCTTAAAGGACAGGGCTTGGGAGACTGTGGTTCGAGAAGGCAATAAAGGGGTGAAAATGAGAGGGCTGAGGGGCTGGAGGTGCAGGTACCCCCCTGAGGAAGTGGTGTCTGTGCTAGCTGGGGCAGAGGGTGTTTTGGTTGTAGGAGGTGGGGCGCACAGGTTGGGAGTTTTCTCATCAGCTGTGAATGCCCCCTACTTAGAATTGATGGTTTTAGGTGCCTTCAAGATGAGTTCCAGGCTGTGGGCTTTCCTGAGCCCTCTAAGAGATCTTTGCTGTTGCTGTCAGTCCCCTTTTAACCTTACCCAAGCCGACTCCATGCTCTTAAAATCTCAGTGATTCAGAGGCTCATGAAACATTCTAGGATCAGGATTTACTGATGTGACGGGAAAGCGTAAAGGGCTGTAACAACATTTATGTGTATATTACTTATTTGACTGCTTACTACTAGTCAAATACTTATTTGACTTATTTGTTGCTTATTAAACTCCGGTGATTAGGTAACCCCCCAGTAGCGGGGGGTTACAAATTGATTTAAACTGTGGCCACGCAGTCTTTACTCATAGATTCTCAACAGGTTTAATTGGAAGGTAGAGTGATACCATGTCACTTGTTCCGTTTGGTCTTGAAATACTGTACCATGTGTATTTTCACTATCTCAACATAAAATTTCAGTAAATTCCTATCTCATGATTTGGTTCTCTTACCTTTGTAATTTATGTTAACAATAGACCAAAGGGTACAGCAAGAGTCTTCCTTAAATTGTTTTGTGGTTCTGAGGCCTGGTCCTATTAAAAAAGAAAACAGGACGGGGACGGTGGCTCACTGCTGTAATTTCAGCATTTTGGGAAGCTAAGGCAGATGGATCACTTGAGCTCAGGAGTTCGAGACCAGCCTCGGCAACATGGCAAAACGCTGTCTTTACAAAAAAATATAAAATTTAGCCGGGCATGGTGGCGGGCACCTGTAATCCCAGCTGCTCGGGAGGCTGAGGCATGAAAATTGCTTGAGCCTGGTAGGCGGAAGTTGCAGTGAGCAGAGCTCCTGCCACTGCGCTCCACCGTGGGCGACAGAGTGAGACTCCATCTCATTACCCCAACCCCCTCATTTTAATTTGAAAGAAATTAAAAATCTACCTTCTCTTTTTTTGCCTTGCTGGTATAACAGGAATTTCTGGGAAAGTTTCCTATATTTGAAGCATTTTTGACAAGGGATCTATAGTGAGCAATTACAAATCTTCCTCCCTGCCCAAACAATGATCCATGTCTTTCTTTCTTTCTTTCTTTCTTTTTTTTTTTTGTTGTTCTGGAAACAGGTTTTATGAGTGAAGCTATGGCTACAGATTCCCCAAGAAGACCCAGTCGTTGTACTGGTGGAGTTGTGGTTCGCCCCCAGGCTGTCACGTAAGCACATTTCAGATAACCCAATAGCTGAAGAAAAGACTCAGTATAGTAACTAGCATTCAGGTTTTCTTTATGAACAGTGATAACTTTTGTAAAAACCTTTTAAATGTTGGCTTTATGGGATGAATAATTATTTCTAAGGCCAAATGAAGAATTGGAGAGTTAAGTTGATGTATTCAGCACATTTACAGAGTACATGAAGAGCACTATGCTAAATCCTGAAGAGCAGTGTTTTCTAACTCCAAGTTTAACAAATTAATGGATCAGTAAATCAGTTTAGTGGGTCAGTACTAGTATTAGAAAATGAAATAGAATATAATAGAATATATAGCTGAGAATTCATACTGTTCCATGACATGCACACAGATGTGTTCATATGTATGAATGTATTTACCAGATGGTGATGTAAAATGTATCTCTTTTAAGTTCAAGGGTACCTGTACAGGTTTGTTAAATAGGGAAACTCATGTCATTGTGGTTTTTTATGGAGACTATTTCATCATCCAGGTGTTAAGCGTAGTCTCTATTAGTTATTTTTCCTGATCCTCTCCCCACTTCCACCCTCCACCCTCTCATAGGCCCCAGTGTGTGTTGTTCCTGTCTGTGTATCCATGTGTTTTCTGTAAAAGGTATCTCTTAGTCTAGGTCTCTGCCAGAAAGTTTCAAAGTAGGTGTCATAGTACATTTCCATGATTTTGGCATTTTTTTTTTTTTTTTAAAACCATCAGAGTGGTTGGCATTCGTCATCACTCTCAGTTGTTCCTACCAACACAGGCTTCATCAGAGG